TCAGCGCTTTAATTGGGTCAGTGGATATGTAAGATCCACCTAGGGGAGTTCGGAAACCCTGATTCTAAACCAATGGTGCACATGGGCTTCAGGGTCCTGAGGGAACAAATGAAGTATGAACCAATCGTTGGTCACCGGCTACCATGGGACTACATCTCTACTGCCTTGTGGTTTAGAACTTTAGGCCAAAGGCTCAGGATGTGGCCCCTAAGATAAACACCTGCTTCGGTCTGGGCACCTGGGCAGTTTCGCAGCCCACATACAAAGCAAGTGACTTGTGTGGTGCATATGTCTTCAGTGCCCCTTCTTACCTATATTTGTTTGTTCAAAACAAAAAAAAATATCTTTAACTTTTCCAATCAGTTATTCACCACTATCGTCAAACTGCAAATTTGAACTGGTTCTACTCCCACCCCTTAGTTTACAAAACTAAGCAGTACAAACCACATCTTTGCTCTCGAAATCAGGTTAGATGGGAGGTCACACTACTGTGTCTCAACAGTATAATTGATATATGGTAAGCTGTGTTGATTTTTAGTTGGTGAGATATGATATCTAGCACAAGGTTTGAACTTTTAAAGTCATGATATAAGATATTCCACAGTCTTTTGAAAATAGGCTGAGTGCGTAAAAAGATTCAGTTGCAAGGGAAGCAAGTCCTTACAATTAGCTGTTTTTGCGATATTAAAATGTATAAGGAGCGAGCGTAGCATGTAAGACTTGCTTGTGCAACGCAACATAAGATACTACAAAGTTAACTCAGATCTTAAAATTTAGTAGCACTGAATACAGCATTCTGTTGTTAGTAGGATGTCTGGTAAGCGAGATTCTTGAGTAAATACGTCATTTGTGTTCATTGTATATCCGTTCATTACGCCCTTTACTGTTTGTGTTATGCATTTCTTTTTCGAAAAAAAAAAACTATGTTTAGATGGTAATATGTTTGACAAAATGAACGACTCTCAAATTGTGGACTGTGGGAGAACAAGTGGATTTGAAAGAATGATCCTGATGATGAAAGCAAATCCTTTGATACCTGTTGGTAAGATACACTAAAATTATTACTATTCCCTTTCCAGGTTTGATTGTCACTGGAGCTCTGATTATCCGCATGAAGTATGCTAGCCGTAAAGAATTCAGACATTTAATGTATTTACGTCCACTGAGTCAAGCAATTACATTTTCAATGATTCTTTACACCGCATACACTACACCTGAAATTTTCAACAAAAGTTCCTGTAGGTTATCAAAATAAATAATTTCACGTAGTTCCGTGGATTTAAAGATACAACTAGTGACTTAAAAATATTAATTATATAATTTTTCAGTAGTTAAATGGCTGATGCTTATATTGGTGTTCCTTAAAAAAGTCCAATCCACGTATACAACTGTAATAAAAGGTCCTTTTCTTCGCAAAATGACTATACGATTTACATGAACACTTATTTAAAACACGAATGCTCTTGCTATAGTGAAAGATCAAGAAATAAGCTACATATAACCGCGTCCCAATTTTGGTATAAAATTTAGTACTAACTAGGAACATCCAACATTGGAGTCAATAAATGGTATGGCCACTGAGCTTTATATGTGGAACATGTCCACGCCACCAAAGCCAGTGTCTTCACATCGTCTCCAATACACCCAAATACACATTGCCGAGCCTCAAAATTCCTTATACAATGTTCACATCAAGCGCGAGGAACTTTTATGAATTAGTGATGGTAAATTCTTCAGCTCTAAATGACAGATCTCCCCCCGGGATAGAGCAGAACTCGTATCTCAGAGTTCTGTATCAGGCCTCTGGCAACTCGACCAATGTCGCGTTGGTGTGGAAAGGTTATGGAGGCTAAAAAACTGATGTGGCTGCTGTTAAGCATACTATAACACTACCTCCTAGACCTTTACAAATTATTGTACATTGACCTTTGTCTTCAAAGGAGCACAGGACAATCTGGTCAGGTCTCCACGGAGAATAAACCACTCAAACCTTTCTGAAACGTTACAACCAACTGTGGTGTGGTATACGTATTCGAACTTTTATGTAGATATCAAAAAGACTAGTATGTAACATGCAAGATAAATTCCTAGGCGCGTAATGTACACTTAAGAGGTTCATCCTTGTCGCCTTTGTGAATACATAAAATCATACTATTTAGGTATTTCCTGGCTCTAAGTTAAGGAGTTTTGTACAATATTTCCGATGTAATCAGTGGTAAACTTGTCTACTGGTTATTGTATGAATTGTGTAGGTCTCTTTTAAGTAAATAAATGTACAGCAATCACCTACTTTAATGTAGTAAAATGGAAATATATGTGCACTGCTGTGTGCTATTTTAAGACATAAAGTCTCAACACCCGTAGTCTAGAATTGTGCCAAGTGTTATGGAAAGCTGATTCTTTTTCAAAATATTCAAGTAATACGTCCTCGTACCTCGGTTTACCAGGCCACTATCATCACGTAATTTGAAAGTACTAAGTTGGTTTAAGCACTAAGTATCTGTACAACAATCACTCACAAACCACTGCGCATAGTAATATAAGTTTGACCTATTTGTAGCAACCGCGGTCCGTCATAGTATACAGACTAAATTGTGGTTACTATTAACCAGTATATATTATCCATTTTGTCATGACGGGTTGTTATTCCCTACTGCTTAGTTGGAGTGCTCCCGAATCTTTATAAGGATTGCTCTGACTTATCATATAGATACTTCATACTCTATTAAAATAAATAAAAACAAGATACTCAGATTGATTGGTGGTAATGAGAGTAAAATGTAATTGATCGCTGAGCGTGAAGAAAAGGGTACTTAGCCTGCTGACTATTAAAATGCGGTTTTCCTTCGTCTCATTGATTTCTACTCCGGACTCACTGAGTGACTGCTTGTAATTGTGTTGAATAAAGTATTGCCTAGTCTATACTCTAGTTCTCTATTCTAGACCGGGAATCCTGGATCTCATATAACGTGAATAGTTTGATTATTGTGTGAACGTATTACTGTAACATACGCGAGTTAGAAAAATATTTTAAACCATCCATTGTATCATATATCTGTTTTGTTCTTTGCATTTACATCCCTCTAGTTAAAACTAGTTTCTAAGGGTCATGTACCCAGCAGCCATAACAGGAAAACAACTTGTGTTTATGTATACACACGGACCAGTTCACTATGTAGGTTTTATGCTAACGGAAAAACTGTTGAGCCGCATCGACATACGCTATCACACTTGTACCTTGCCGATTTTGTTGAACAATCTAATTGTGGATGCGCTCTGCTGAGGAGACCCGTTATACGACGAACTAGTCGTTTAGTGCTTTCTAAAATCAGTCAGTTATGTAAGCAACAAGACTCAACTATCTCTACAAAACCTGAAGTAAAAAATTGTGTCTGTCTTACCTTTATCTACTATAAGTAAATTAAACGATGAATCTAGTACAGTGACAGTTAATAGCCCTTAAGCTTCATTAGTAAATAAACAAAACTAATGTACATGTGAAACAGTGTGTGCAAATAACCATCTCCTGTCCGTAATTGCGATTTTCAATTAGTGAGTGACTTTTTGTGACTCGATATACCACAACCAGATAGATATTATTAGATGCAACACAATTAATGAGTCATACGAGGAATATGAATAAATATGCTGATGACGTAAACCTCAAGAGCGGTTGTACGGTCAGGAGTATGTAGGTTTTGTTGACAATAGAAATACTTTCATAAAAGTCCTTATTTCTGCGACATTTTGTGTTAAGTGAGTTCAAAAAGGCTTCGACACAGAATCACATGGAGAACCAACCTTCTCCCTAGAGATCCTTTCATACGACCGCAAAACTAGTCCTTTCAATGCAAATCTTAATGATAGCCTTTCTGCATGTGAGAGTGGACGTACGATGCTTGTAGATGTAAAGGATCAACTTATAGGGGCTGAAACATTTAAATTCAGACAGGTGCATAAAAGTCCCAGGATTCCGAGTAGACAAGCGAAATAGATTACTGAGGTCAACAATTATCACGCGATCCTACCTGCAGTTTCGCCCACCCGGGGGCGGTCCGCACTTTTGCCCCAAATGCCCTGGTATGGTCGAGAGTGGAGGGAGTCCGCTCCTCCTCTCGAAATGCTCTCACATGGCCATGCGTATACAGCCCCTGCCAGGGAAGTCCTACTCACTGCTTTCTCGCACCACGGGTGTTGTTTACGAAAATGAGAGGACGAAAAGCGAATGTCCGGCGCTATAGCCGGACCCCAAATCAATGGTGCACATGGGCTCCAGTATACTGAAGGAACAAATGGCGTATGAACCAATCGTTGGTCACCGGCTACCATGGGACTGCATCTCCTCACGATGCTCCACTGCCTTGTGGATCAGATCTTCAGGTCAAAGGCTCGGGGTTTGGCCCCCTAAGAAAACCACCTGCTTCGGTTTGGGCACCCGAGCAGTATCACAGCCCTCACACATATCAAATGAGATCTGTGTGGCGCATATGTATTTGGTGCCTTCTTGTGCCGATATCTATGTGTTAAAATAAATAGTAAATAATAAAGTTAATGGTCCCTTTAATTCTAGTTCATGTTCTGGTTGTGAATGAAATGACATCTTGAATACCTTCAACACACGCCCTTGACAATAGAAGGGTCTTTGGTTCGTTGTATAGAGCTGCCTTGGGATCCCGTTGGAAGGACGTAACTGAGGGATTTATTATCACCTTAAAGCACTTGTGAAAATATATTTCACACAGTTTGAAGCCATACAACCGTCTCTATTGTTTCACAACAACAGTGGGTTTATATATGATTGTCGAGTCCCATCATTCCTTTTCAGTTTTGCTATCGGCGACATACTAAAAACAAACCTGAAAGGAACATACAATTGGGTTCAACCTTTCAGTGTAGTGACAGCATTGTCTTACCGCGCGATTACACAGTAGGTTGTACATTGAGCCTTATTAAAATCCCGAATACAACGCGGAACATACTGTATATGCAAAACACGGTAGTTGAAAGGAAAGTAGAAAGTCGATTTCAAAGCCAATAATAATTTTTTACACAAGAATTATTGAGTACGTTATGTATATCTCATATATTATAAGGAAATAAAAAATATTTTCTCCAAAAACTATTTGAATTTTCACCATTACTTTCATAGAATGGTATATGTCATCAACACATAGAACACTAACCAGTGTTCTTTTACGCTTGTTTTTGTTAAACCAAGAAGGGCTGAGCAAAATAAAAGGTGATGGGACTTGAAAAGTGTGCATAACAAGTTTGCGAATGTGATAATTAGATGAAAAACAGGTACAACTGCTTGCTGGTAGTCAGCATACCAAAAATAATGGAATATGATAAGCAGAAGAAATTAGTATCGTGTTTATCGTTAATATTAACAATAAAACTAACGATTTATTGTTTTTTTTTGCATTGAATAAAATAAAGACATCTATCTTATAAATACTTCAGAATATATATATATATATAATATATATATATATATATATATATATATATATATATATATATATATATATATATCTTGATAGACTAATCGACTCACATGTACAAGCAGTGAATACAACAGGCTGTTTACTCTTTAACGATTAAAATGAACATACAAATCGTTTGACACAAATACCAGAGATACGGCATCCATACACAGTTGAGTACTGGAAGTCTAAAATTACAGTCTTATCGAGTGGGATAATATACTAATGAAGTAAAAAAGCAACATTAAAAATATTCTTGATAAATCATATCATCAGCACGTCAGGTATCATTCGATGAGATTTCATTACTACACAAACTAGACCAAATTAATTCATTCAAGAATATGTGCCAATCGATATCCCATTCATCTTGGTTAACTACAGATGGTAATGCCGATCGGGAATTATTCATACAATGTCTTGAGAGAAATAAATAACAGCAATTCAATGTAATAATAACTAAACAATAACTTGGCTATTTATAAAGTCAGTATTATTCAAAACAGTTGATTAAAATACACCCAGCATTGTGAACGGTTCTTATTTTCTTCCTCATAACTGATTAAAACACGAAGTTGGGAAAGTGCAACTTTTATGGCAAATTTAGTGCTGTATGATAATAATACTGGACTTTATTTTAGTTTAACTGCAAAATTATACTCACTGTTTCAAAGAGTAATCAATATATTTTAAAGATCCTGAGTGCAATTTATCAAAATACTTAATTTGCAATCTTTAATTGTTTTCTAATCATTAACATATTTCAAACAGAAAGAATGCAGATCTATCAAGACCATGTAAACTTCTTATCAACATTAAATACTGCTACTATTGAGTTGTGAAAATGATTTATTTATTTGTATTGTAGTACATATACAATTTTGTATAATCATTTTACAAACTTTGTGCTGATTGTTCGTCTCTCATTCTGTAGTGGGTGAGTGGTAGCTGTGTTTGTTGAGTCGATAGGTTGAACATGACTATAATTTGGAAGTTAGTCTGGTAATCATTCACTTTTGAAATACGTATACGCCTACGCGTAAATCAAGGCCTGAAACACATAAAGCCCCGTCATATGAGTATACTTACTTTCTTATTTCAGAGATGGGATAATCAACTAGGTCAGTTTGATTAAAAATGTGAATGGATTCAAACTATGTACTACATGAAGAGTGACAAAAGTAGAATTAAAAATTCTGGGGTGATTTATGCCTTAAAGAAACATTTATAACTTTATATTTCACTAAAACACAAAACTAAGTTGGGATTTGTTCTAACAATTTCATTTAGTTGTGTTGATGAGGCATAAGAACTTGGACCGCTGTATACATATGCAAGGTTCTACATTGAGTTTGACTAACCAAACCATATTAGAGTATAAAAGCTGGAATTGTTTAGCGTGACGATGACTAAACAGTTGATAATCTCCAATTTTAGGTAAATTCCTGGTCTGACGCCCCACTATGTTATTAATGATGGTCCGATATCAGTGTCAACTTGGCTGTATTTAGTAGGATCTATTCTGAAGTTATTTTTTGTACAGTTATTCAGGTAATATCTAAGTGGAAAGAGAAAAAAAGCGAAATAAAACTTACGAATTAAGGACATCTTTTTTATTTGGTTCTTTAGATTTCTCATCATTACTTGACTTTATTTGTAAATCTTCCGATAATGACTTTGAATGCTTTGAAGAATAAGGGTTTGTTGATTTCACTTTATAGTCAAATACTTCCGAGGTGAAAGATTCCAAGTTAACGTTGGAATCAATAGTTGGATTAACAGCCTGATGGCCAGAAGTAGCCGTATTCTCGGTAAAAGAAGGAATTGGACTGTCGGTGGGTCTTGAGTTTTGAATAACAGGAACAGTTGTACAATGACTTGTATTTCCAGAAGTTTCGACCACCTAAAAAGCACAAGATTAAAAGCCTGTCAAAAAATCCGTTTCAATTTAGAACTCCGTTAGGGAAATGGTTGAAAATATAAACATGAGAAAGTAGTTACAGATAGAAATAAAATTAACAGCTTAAAAAGGTCATATCTAGTAAACAGCGTATAGGATTTGCGTGTACCAGACACTTTTGTACCTTACTAATAGTTAAGCTAACAGCTAAGACAGCATCAAAAATAAACACGTGTAAGTCGCACAAGTTAACCTTAAACGCATTTATTTAGTGTACAACACAACTACAACTGGTCAAACACACAAATCCCTCAGTTATATCTAAAGGCTTAACACCAAAGGTGAATACAAAACCAGACTTCCGTTAACCTTTTAAAAGTTATCAGTACTGATGTAAATCCAACAGGGAGCCTAGCTGAGTGAAAAACAGCATGACGCCTAAGTCCAGAGTTTCTCGCCAACTGCCTCCAACCACTTTAAGTTGATCTAAGATAAATAGCCTAGTAACGGATGTTGATTAAGTTAGCCATATGCGATGTAGAACACAGCACATATTTGCATCGATTCAAGTTTTTACACCACGTTAGCACGGCAAGATAAGATTATGAAAACCAATTCTAGAGCGGTCAAAGTAGTAACGATATCAGTAGTAGTAGAAAATATTAAGTATCGAAAGAATAAAATAGTATAAGGAAATGTCGAGATTCAGGATCCAAATGAAGATAGAAGGCGAGTGCACTTGCATCACTGCGAACAATTGTGAGACATGTCACTCAAGATCACTAGCAATTGGCAGTCGTGCTGATTCCAACCAAATAATTTGCACTTAGCTACATGAGACAGCTAACGGTCAGTGACTTCATGAACTGGTGTCACGTCTTGATTTAGCTAACCCGTTTTTTTACAACAGCAAACAATGCACGTCGAGGTAGACGGTGGTTGGGAATACGTAATACATGTCCTAAACCTTCAGTTCATGGATATTTACGACTTCATGGATGGGAATCTGAAGAATGGACTTAATTTTATTTGATTGTCTCGATCGCTGATCATCCTGGTTTATAGAAAAGGATGGTGTTGACGATCTTCTCAGGTACATCGTAGTGTCGAAGAAGTTTCCACAATGTTCTCTTGTCTACACTATCAAACGCCTTATCATAGTCAAGGGAGTTGATGTATAATGACGAGTTCCATTAAATCGACTGCTCAACGATGATCCGTTAAGTCACGATTTGGTTTATGCACAACCGATCCTTAAGGAATCCGACCACTGCCTACATCCATCAGAGCTGTTTCCATAACATCATCGATAGCAAAGTTGAAGATGAATGGTAGGATTGGATAACCCTTTGTAACACCACTGCCTGAATGGAACAATCGGGAAAGGTGGTTGTATGCTCCCATTCTGTCTGAGATATTTGTACATAGGACTTTCAAGATGTTAATGAGATCCTCAGGCACATCCTTCTTCAATAGACAATTCCAGAGAACAGTCCTGTTCGAAGACAGCCCTGATGTCAAGAAACATTATGATTTTTGGCCTTTAATAAATATGACGGTGTTCTAACATTTGGCGGGGGGTGAAGATATTAATACATCCTCCACCAGAATGAGGACTAGCCTGCTCCTCGCGAGTCAATCTCTCTGGGTTTTGAACAATCCACGAAGAATGACGGAAGCCAATAGTTTGGACGCGATCGGAAGTAGACTTTTTCTCCGATAGTTCTTGCATAGGTGACGTGAACTCTTTTTAAAGATAGGGACGATTATCGACTCGTTACATGATGTTAGAACACTCTCTAACCGTCAAATCTCTGTAAACAACGCAGTCACTTCCTTAACCGCCACTATCTTCAAAAAGAGTCGGAGGTAAGTTATCTGGACCCGGTGATTTGGAGCGCTTCAAGAGTTGGAGTTCCTTGCAGACTTCCACCTCATTTGGTGTATCAGTTGTCACAGGCCATGGAGGAAAGGACAGTCTGACCTATGTCGCCCGGGCAGCAGACCAGATAAACTGTTACTCGAAAAACTCTGCCCATCGTCCAAGACGTCGATGGATGTTAGTGATTGGCATCCCGTCTTCTTTACAGATTGTTTCGCCCACACCAGACCTCTTTCTGCCAGTGGCTAGGATGAATTGAAAAAGCTTCCGGTAGTTACCAGATGCAGCTGCTGCTTCCAACTCATTGGTACGCTCCGACCACCAGGCTTCTCGATCGTTACGCAAGCTTTGTCCAATTTCACTACGTAACAGTCGTCATTTGTGGTCAAGCTCACAGTCACCTGGAGTAGACCGACGGGCTTCAATGATTGGTAAGGATCTAGAAGAAACCTAATGTTTTTAGGCTGTACGTTTCGCGAGGCTGAAAGTGACTATACTCGACATTTTCATAGCGTCGTGCAACTGTGACTGACGCTCATTCCTCCGTAGTTCTCACATTTTTTCAGATCTCCTTTTTTGGTATCCTGATGAAGTTTCCGTCTTTACATTGCGTCGGAAGTTGTTCCTCCTCCCAAATCTTTCTGAGTAGAACGTGGGGCATGTTTGCAGTTATTTATATGTCCGACTTCAATGTTTCGGCTGCTATATTGTCAGGTCCTTCTGCTTTTCCGCACTTGAGTTGTCTGACGACCACTCTGATTTCTTCGTCGTTAGTGGAGTGACATCTATAGGAAGGTCTGTAGGTGCTGCTTCGATATCCGATGGATTCAATGGAACTGGTCTACTCAAGAGTTCCTCGAAGTGTTCCACCCATCCGTTCCCCTGTCCTTCAATTTCAGTGACTGGTTTTCCTTCTTTGTCCTTGACTGATCTCTCTGATTTACCATACTTCTCCGCTAGTTTCTTCGTTGTGTCATACAGCTGTCTCATATTTCCTTCTCTTGAAGTCTTTGCTAGCTGTTTCATGTATTTCTGCTTGTCCGCTCTAATACTCTTCTGCACTTGCTTGTTTGCTTCTGAGTACTTAGCTTTGTGCCTTGACTTTCTCTGCCCTTATTCGACTGTTGTTAATTGCTGTCTTATTGTTCTTCCGTTCATGAATCTTGTCCACGGTTTCAATAGAGATTCATTCCCTATGATGATGCTTCTCGCGACCTAGCACCTCCTAACACGTTGAAGGTAGTGCTTCTTTGATTTCTTTCCCGTTGTCCTGCATCGTAGTTTCTTATTTCAGTAGATCCTGTAAGACTTGGAACTTGTTATTGAGAGTTACGTTGAATTCGTCATGTTTGTCAGTATCTTGAAGGAAAGCTGTGTTGAACCTTTGTAATGTTGTTTGTCTAGTTGTCCAATGTTTCTTTAGCTTCAGTTTTATCTTGGCCACAACCAGGTAGTGATATGAAGCTAAGTCAGCCCCTCTACTGGTTCTCACGTCTTCCATTGTCCTTCTGAATTTTTTATTGATACGAATATGATCCATCTAGTTCGCCGTGATGTGATCCGGTGAGATCCATGTAGCTTTGTGTATGCGTTTGTGTGGGAATATTGTACCGCCTATAACCAATTTGTTAAATGCACATAGGTTTGAAAATCTCTCTCCATTTTCGTTCCTCTCTCCCATTCCATGTCGTCCCGTGATATCTTTATACCCGGTGTTGCTCATTCCGACTTTAGCGACTTTTTTCCACGGGACAGGGTTGCCGACCCCATGCCCAACTCTCCTCCTTTACCCAAACTTGAAACCGGTATTAACTCTAGAAGAGCTACAGGCAGAGTTATCAGAAGACTCTGCATTTTATCAATGTCCTCAACAAAGAGAACTGTCATTTAAATATTCTAAGTCAGCAAGTGAGTAGTCTTCATATTACTACACTGCATACATTCAAGATAGAAAATTCGCTCTTCAATTACTGATGCAAACATTTTGGTAACACGTTTTCTTACGAAATGCATAAAACCACTGCCAGTGAAGTCCTACTCACTGCCTTCTCGTGGCATTAATATTGCTTACGAAATTGAGAGGATGAAAAGCGAATGTCCGGCGCTTTAACCGGGTTGATGGATACGGAGGATCCATCCAGGGGAGTTGGAAAACCTCATTCCAAACTAATAGTGCACATGGGCTCCAGTATCCTGAAAGAACAAAAGGCATATGAACAAATTGTTGGTCACCGACCGCCATGGGACTACATCTGACGTTGCTCCATTGCCTTGTGGATTAGACATTTAGGTCAAAGGCTCGGGGTGCGGCCCCCTAAGAAAAACACCTGCTTCGGTCTGGGTAACCGGGTAGTATCCTAACCCTCACACAAATCGAATGATTTATGTGGCGCATATCTATTTAGTGCCTTCTTGTACCTATGTCCATGTGTTTAAATAAATAAATTCTTACAAAAGACAAATAGATCACAAACTTACTGGACTTTGATTGTTTATATCGCCAACATCATTGTTTAATTCGGACTGTGAATTCAGTGAGTTAGTATCATTTTCACAGTGTAAGGCAGTAGAAGAATTTCTAGTTATTTCATTCTTGTTGTGTAACAACAAGTCAGTTGGTTGGTCAAGTAATCCATTAGTCTCATCATTATGACAAGCATTTTTATTACTTTCATAACATTCTAAGTAGTTTTTCATTGCTACTATACAACCAGCAGTAAAACGTGAATTTGATGACAATGAATGTGATATGGTATGGTTCGATCTTATACTATGCTGATCGTGACATGATCTATCAGTTGAAGAACAATGGTGTTGTGAAGTGATAGTATTAGCATTAATGTTGTTGACATTTTTAAGTCGATCATAGCTGACAGACTGATTCCTAAATCGTGTGCGTAAGCTAACAATTTCAGAGACTGAAGTTGTAGGGTGATTATTGGCAGACTGTGATGACTGAATGGCTACAAAAGTCAAAAAAACAAAATTCATTAATTATTTGAATTATGATCCACACTGTTTAACCAAATAGGACAAAAGGAAGAGAATAAATTGTGTAATGGTAGGTAATAACGTTTGCGATAGAAAAAAAAATTGAATATCAATTCTATTGATGGTAATAGGTTAGAATTTAGAACGATAATCAAACAATAGATAATCCATTACCAGTCGTGTTTGTGAGAAAGATTACTAAAAACGAAGCTCTCAAATTCCCTGGTACGGCTCGAGAGTGGGAAGAGTCCGCTCTCCCTCTCGAAACGCTCTCACATGGCCATGCGTATATAGCCTCTACCAGAGATGTCCTACTAACTGGCTTCTCGAGCCACGGGTGTTGTACACGAAATTGAGAGGACGAAAAGCGAATGTCCGGCGCTTTAAACGGGTTGGTGGACAGGGAGAGTTCACTTAGGGGAGTTAGAAAACCCTGATTCCAAACCAATGGTGCACATGGGCTCCAGTATCCTGATGGAACAAATGGCGTGTGAACCAATCGTTGGTCACCGGCTACCATGGGACTGCATCTCCTTACAATGCTCCACTGCATTGTGGATCAGACGTTCAGGTCAAAGGCTCGGGGTGTGGCCCCCTAAGAAAACCACCTGCTTCGGTTTGGGCACCCGGGCAGCATCACAGCCCTCATACAAATCAAATGAGATTTGTGTGGCGCATATGTATTTGGTGCCTCCTTGTACCATTATCTATGTGTTCAAATAAATAAATAATAAAATAAATAACTAAAAACGAAACGAAAACAAGAATAACCTTTTGCTGGAAGAATGGAAAAAAATGTTGTCAGTCATGCTTTACCGTAAAGAAACATTGGAAGATATAGAATGAATCTCCCCCAACACTTTTCCTTTTTCAAAAAATAAGACTTCTTCGTTGGATTTACTTGTAACTTGTAGACGGCTTCAGGAGGCATTCGTTCTTATTATCTTTCGAATCCAGTTGATTAGCTAGCACTCGCCAAATCAACAACAATAGTTTGAATATACGCGCATGTTATGTTGCGAATACCATTAACATCAAATGGCTCACGTTTTATGTACTGAATCAGCATTAAAACATAACTCGACAAGTATTTGTATGGACTTACATAAAAATTTATTTGTCTTTCATTGAAACCATGAACCGATTAAAGGTGGACAATTATTGGAAACGTAGAAAAAATGAATAGCTGTTTCGTCCCAGCGTAGGACTCCTCAGCAGTGGGTATACACGGTGCTGCACACGGGAGTCGAACCCAGGATCTTCGGTCTCGCTCGCGAACGCTTGACCTATAGACTACTGAACCGGTACTCAACGGTGTTAGTGTCTTTAATAATTTACCTGACAAAGCTTGAACCAGATTGTTAGGCGAAATCTTGGAAGTATTTAAATTCTGATTTCAAACGTAGTTTACGAATATAATGTCTTCTTTAAATAGATGATCTTTATCAAGTTTTCCTTCCAAACTTGATGAATGTTAACGTAAACTGTGGTATATATTTAATATCTTAACACAGATAAAATACTAAGAAACTACAAGATGAAAATCAAATATTATGTTATGAAGATAGTAACAACATAGCTACTGGCAACAAACAGTCATACCTAATGTCTGCATAACAGTATTAAGAACTTCTAGAGGAATTTATAAAAGTTTACTCCTTGAATTTTGTGCTGATTTTGTTTAGGAACTATTAGCTTTAAAAACAAAACATCTAAATGAAATAGCACAGAATTATCAAATTAAAAAGTAATTTAACAGACGATAAGCAAATTAAGTACGTGTCGATGGAAGATTATAATCACGTAGATTTCTGCCATCATGAGAGCAGTCTTGAAATAAATTTCACTAAACTGCCAAAATACTGATTTCGACCATCTTCAAAATATTCAGCCGTAAAGCAGACACTTGTCTACACAGCTTGAATCATTGGTAAGTTAGTTCATGAGTTGGTTTGACTATTTACAGCTTTTCTCCAACCCACTTCTACTCTATCCAATTAAACACAACGGAGTACGTGACGATTCAATATGAGTAGGAAATTCCAGCTATCTCTATGCATTTAAGAACTTTCTATCGGATGACTTGCTCCCGAGAAATTCCCACGTGAACTCGTCACTCTTAAATGCTGTTCCAGAAAACCCTTTGAGATCTATGATTGAATATCTGTGACAGTCCCACCCCCTGGTGTTATATACCTTTATTGATTATTTCGAAAACAGCTTTGTATTAGTGGAGATTAGACTGCTGTGCAATAAACTAGAATCTTGGCTAGCAGGTGGTTATTATAATAACTGACACAACTAGAATGTATAATGATACCATAAATCATTACATAACTAGGAGTATTAATATGCATCTTGAAAATAAGAACCAAGTATTTCCTATAAATCCGTTAAAGGATGTAAACCCAGATGCATATAGAACTTACAGTTACCGTTGACAGGAGGTTGAAGGTTGTGAACACTTTTAAAATGACTTGCAATATCATGTGTAGTACGATTTGGATCACCTTCTGTTTGAATAGCACAAAATGGACAAAGTACTTCTGAATCAAGAGCATTAGGATGATGAGTAAAAACATGACTTGATAAAGACGATTCTGTAAAGCCTAACTGGCCGCATACTGAACAAGTGAAACTTTGAACACAATATTTAGTTGAGCTCTTTAAAAAATAAGTGATCAAATAAAAGGAACTGTGAAATAAGAAAGATTAATGAAATGCATGAAACGATTCTTTGAAAACGATTTGTAAAAGATCCATATTTTTTTAGCTAACTTACGGATTGTCTTGCGACCATATAAACAGCTATCTATAATACAATCTAATATCTAAATTTTACAGGTAAATACATTTATCTGTCATAAGTATGCTTTTGAGGATCTGGTATATCAACGAATACTTTATGAAAGTGTCAGCTGTATTGCAATATACAGCAGTAAATACCAATCAAAACAAATAGATGAATAGAAATGGTTTACATTGTTTACCAAAACTGTATATCGAGTAACCGGAAGAACATACTGCTTATTTGGATTGGGCGAATATAATATTGGTTTTAAAAAATGAGCATTTCAAGTTCAAATCTAAAGCTTAACTTGCTATGGACTATAGTGACAAACATCCAATATCAATAGATGATCGAATTGTGTAAAAGAAAGAAAATGTGGTTTAAAAGGTGTCATTTGGCTTACAAGTTTGGGTCTGTACTGCTGACCAATTAAAAGCAGCTTTGATTGTAAGCAACGAGACCCGACAAAGAACACCTCTTGATATTTTCCTGGACATCTTTGAAATCAAAACCCCTGAAACGGACAGGCCAGTCTCGGTGTACGCAAAGAGTGATATTGTGGTGTGTACTACTTACGTAGACATAAGTAGTATATGACGTGAGTACTGAACAGAATGTCTGGCAGCAAAGAGACGAGAAGATCGAACAATGAAGAATGCAATTTGTATGAAAATGCAAGAACAAAAGGATTTTGAGTCATTTGAGACAACTGATGATGATTTGCAAATTAACGATTTAATATATGGTTGTTGGATTTTACTAAATAGTTCTATAAGTTGTTGTTAAATACATCCGATTGTCACCACCGGTGTTTTGTTCACTACAGTACCAACTCTTTATTGCCTAGAAGATCGACAAATTGAAAGTACAGACTAGTCACACGTTTGAGGTGGACCTTAACACCAGATCCTACGAATCTGCCCAAAGGAGGATGTTAGTAAGATTTTGATTGGAACAATGCATGTCCCGCGCAGGATTAAGTTGTTCATTTCTTAACCGATCAACGCCAGAGGGTACTTGGAGAGGGCTCTAAAATAGTCTTGTGTAATAATTACGAATATACTAACGTTTTTCTGGTTGTGTTTCCTACTCCCATTCAACCTTTGTTTATTAGAAATATATTTGCGTTCCTGTTCAACCGTGTTGTGATTTGAGGAAGTAGTGTCCAAGATCACTAAGCAATAAGACTAGCTGGTTCGTAATAAGATAACTCATAACAGTTGTCTAGGTAAAATTAGATGAAAATGTCTGAAATCTAGTCCAATAGACAAAGATTGAATACCTAAACCACCGAGTTAAACTATACTAGAACTAGGATTGTCATTTGCTTTTCATCCTACTTATCTGGCATTTTTAAACACTGTTTTTGTGATGAAAAACAACGTAGATATACTGAAAACTAGAAAAAAGTTACTCACCTCACCACAGTAAAATACATTATGATCTGCTTTAGTGATCAAACATTGCATCGGATGAGAATTTAAATGCTTTTCAGTTTCTTGTTGATTATCAAAACAGGTCCCACAAAGATCATAGTCACGACAAGTTAGACACTTATATCGCCTAAACCTGAAGTCTCTTCGTGAACATCCGTTACAAGTCACACCTTGATGCGAAAAAAAGATTTCTAAAGATTGCTAGAACTTTTACAAAAGTTTACAAAGCATGATTTTAAAATGGACCCAGTAACTGACAACGTAATTGTGAGATCAACTGGCTTAATAGAAAGATAGTACGTAACTGATCAAACTCATAACCTAGTACTAAAAACTAATGAATTACATTTGCATCAGTAATGCTGTAAGTGTTTGGTGACAGGATTTTGCGTATTAGTTATAGAGCCCCCAAATGCGCTGGTACGGTTCGAGAGTGGGTAGAGTCCGCTCTCCCTCTCGAAATGCTCTCACATGGCCATGCGTATATAGCCTCTACCAGGGATGTCCTACTAACTGGCTTCTCGAGCCACGGGTGTTGTTCACGAAATTGAGAGGACGAAAAGCGAATGTCCAGCGCTTTAACCGGATCCCAAACCAATGGTGCACATGGGCTCCAGTATCCTGATGGAACAAATGGCGTGTGAACCAATCGTTGGTCACCGGCTACCATGGGACTGCATCTCCTTACAATGCTCCACTGCATTGTGGATCAGACCTTTGGGTCGAAGGCTCGGGGTGCGGCCCCCTAAGAAAACCACCTGCTTCGGTTTGGGCACCCGGGCAGCATCACAGCCCTCATACAAATCAAATGAGATTTGTGTGGCGCATATGTATTTGGTGCCTCCTTGTACCATTATCTATGTGTTCAAATAAATAAATAGTTATATAAGTTTCTGTATTCGGAAATGAGGTAGGTTGGGAGAGTAAGTTCCTAAAAGATAGCACAATGATTTACTTTATTAAGGCACAATCATTTGATACAACAGAAACCAAACATTGAATATAACTACTTTTAAGTTAGAAAGACTAATCTTCATAAAGAAAAAACGATAATAGCGTAGGTCATCATTTAGCCCTCTTTATTTCCACCCAGTTAGGATTTGTAGCAAATGTAAAATGCTTGTAATTTTAGTCTCATGAGAAGTTGCTGGTCAAATATCTAGTAATACTTTGTATCATCAATCATCTATCATTTGATTTCTCGCTTTCAACAGTCAAAAATACTCACATAAATACTAAAACTTTAATCTAGTTTCATTTTAAAAATCATAATAAAGACGGGACGTATCTGAACTTAGCACTTTTGGTTCAGAATGTAGTTTCTGAATAAAGCTTCCATACAGTTGTCCAGGAGAAAAATCAGAACCAGATTGTTAAACATGAGTTCTTAACTTAGAGAGCAAGATGAAACAATGAAAGACATCAGCAAGTTGGGACTTGATGAGTATGTAATTTATTTTCATTTATTTATTTGAACATAAATATTGGTACGAGGGGGCACCAAACACATATGCGCCACACAATAACAATGAGGTTGTGAAGAGATAGAGAATGTAAAGTGCGTATGATAAGAACAACAACGAACAGAAATTAGTTTATGAGTGAAATAATAATAATGAAACAGTCCAGTCAGAGAAAGTATAACCAGAAGGAATTCTTTCAGCTAAAGAAGTTACGTATTCTTTTTATGAAGAAATTAAAATAGAGTTACAGCAGGATCGCCACTGGCTTCAATTCTGAACCATATCTGATAACGTTTCAAGCCACTGTGTTGCACCATCTCTAGGACCCCAACCAGGGAGTCATGAGGAACAAACAGAAGCCAGTCCTGTACAGCTCTCTTTCATACCATGACACAATGTCATACACTGACCACCTCCAGTGGGTCTCAGCGCCGGCAAGTGATGCATGACGTGGAATTCCCTGGGACGACATCTGTAGAACATGTCCAAGCCACCGAAATTAATATTTCAAGGTAATAACACAAAGTTGTCTAACATCCTCAACTCAGAGAGACCAGGTTTCACAAGCATAGAACAAAACTGCTTTCACCGACCTTTTACAGCCAGACAACCCTGTCTAATACCACTGCTTGAATGAAACAATGAAGAGAGGTGGTTGTATACCCTCACTCTGACTTGGGTGCTTGTATACGGGGCGTTTAAGATGGTAATAAACTTCTCAGGCACACCCTTCTTCAATAAGCTCTGTCCAACTAATCGAAGGTGGCCATAATGTTAAGAAACACTAGGGTTTTTGACCCGTAACAAGTATGACGGAAGTCCTACTAACTGCGTTTTCGTGGCGAGAATGTTGTTTACGAAATTGAGAGGACGGAAAGCGGAGGTCCTAGTTGGTGGACATGGAGGATCTATCTAAGGAGGTTGGAAAACCTTGAGCCTCAGAATTCTGAGGGAACAAATGACGTACGAACCTGTTATTAGTCACCGACCACCGTGGGACTGCATCTCCCACCATTACCCAACTGCCTTGTGAATTAGATCTCTGGGTCAAAGGCCTAGAAATTGGTTCACTAAAATAACCACCTGCTTCAGTCTGGGCACTCGGGCAGCATTACAGTCCTGGCACAAATCAGTGGTAACTACGACTGGAAAAATCTCTTGATTCAACGCTCTCTCAGACAAATCTTATTCACAAACATTTGATAACATTCATTTTTATTTTTTATATATTACGTCACTTATGTATTCCCCTCTATCCTCATTTTGCGTACTTCATTTTTCAACTTATACAGCAGCTTGCCTGTGGTGAAAACTCTGTCTTATCTAAACGATCTCAAGTCACTGAATGGTCGAAAGTTGAATGTTACCACCGACTACGAATACTGAAAGTCTTTCTGAAACCACGTATACCGTTCAAACTGGCCTCCAACGTTAGCACACTAATGCAAACCAGACAACAGATAGGGTTAACTATGTCTTTAGAAAGTCACAACATCGATGTCCGTTGTCTATCTGAGACTCATATTCAAGACTCTAGTGAAGTACCGCAAAGTAGGAAGAAATCCGACAGATTGCAGCCCAGATACAATAAAGGATGAGTTTTACCATCCACTAAGTGATGTCCCGAAGAAAACATGTTCGACAAATATTGCAGTACTAACCGGAGATATGCCCAGGTTGATCATCCAGGTACAGAGGTGTGATTTAGGTGACAAATTTGGACTTGTCAACGACTGGTCAGATAGCGACGACTGTTTCCTATAACTGAGTAAACAATAACCTGTTTCTGGCTAGCAATAACTGTCGAAAAAGTAGTTGCCGACACGCTATCTGGTATCCTCCTTCTGCATATCAAGCCTGGACTCATTGATCACACCACAATGAGCTACCGCTAGCATGGTTGTGTATAAGACTACCTCTCCTTCTGGAGTATTTATCTTGACTCTGATGATGTCCTCTTTCGAGCTACTCTGATTTTACGTTTCAGTGGCCAACAAATTAATCTTCCTAAGCAGATCGATGTCAGTAAATTGGTTGCAGCTTCCGTTGCAACGAAATGTCAAACTAAGTTAGGCTCAAGGCTAGTTACCATCCCACCGAAAAGTATAGATGAGCATTGAATGCATTTGTATAAAGCCATGGAAATGGAAAGTAAAGTCGCATGCGATTTCGCGAGATGACCTGTTTATGAACACTGGGTTTCTACTTCTTACAAATGCCCTGGTACGGCCGAGAGTGGGGAGAGTCCGCTCTCCCTCTCGAAATGCTCTCACATGGCCATGCGTATATAGCCTCTACCAGGGATGTCCTACTAACTGGCTTCTCGAGCCACGGGTGTTGTTCACGAAATTGAGAGGACGAAAAGCGAATGTCCAGCGCTTTAACCGGATCCCAAACCAATGGTGCACATGGGCTCCAGTATCCTGAAGGAACAAATGGCGTATGAACCAATCGTTGGTCACCGGCTACCATGGGACTGCATCTCCTCACGATGCTCCACTGCCTTGTGGATCAGACGTTCAGGTCAAAGGCTCGGGGTGTGGCCCCCTAAGAAAACCACCTGCTTCGGTTTGGGCACCCAGGCAGTATCACAGCCCTCACACAAATCAATTGAGATTCGTGTGGCGCATATGTACTTGGTGCCTCCTTGTACCAATACCTATGTGTTAAATAAATAAATAAATAAGTAAACTTCTTACAACTCCTTAGGGCACGTCAGTCTATTCCGGCTAACCACGAGCTTGATGATAAACGTAGATTCTTACGTAAGGAAATTTAGCAAAGTTTGCGCAACTTCCAGGAAGCCTGGTGGTTAGAGCGCGCCAATAAGTTGGAAGCAGCAGCTGCATCTGGTAACTACCGGAAGCTTTTCCAATTCATCCGAGCGCTAGCAGCAAGAGGTCTGGTGTGAGCGAAACAATCTGTAAAGAAGACGGGATGCCAATCACTAACATCCATCGACGTCTTGGACGATGGGCAGAGTTTTTCGAGTAACAGTTTATCTGGTCTGCTTCCCCGACGACATCGATCAGATTGTCCTGCCCTGATACACCAAATGAGGTGGAAGTCTGAAAGGAATTCCAACTCTCGAAAGCTACTAATCACCAGGCCAGATGACTTGCCATCTTCAATTTCTAAGGATGGTGAAGACTTTAATATGGGATTGACTAAGTTGTTTGCAAACGTTTAGGAGTTACAGAACGTTCCAACATTCTGGAATGAAACGATAGTCATCCCTATCTTACAAGAGGATTTGCGTCACCTATACACCAACTATCAGGAGTAGGTCTACTTCTATTTGCGTCGTCAGTCAGTCAGTGACAACGTAGAACTTCGTACGCACGTACATCAGTTCGAGTTGCCATACCACATTAGCACAGAGATGCAGTTGTCGATTCAAATCCCATAGTGGTAGAGGTAGTAAGAGTATAAGCAGTAGTCGAAAACACTAGGGCTTGAAGATGTTATTCAAGGAGTATAATCCAGTAAAATAAATTTGGAAAGAAAAAAAGAGACACGAAGAATTCAGAAAATTAGAATTTGGGAGAACACAAAGAGTGGACGCACCTGCGCTATTGCAAACGATTTTGAGCCATGTCATTCAAGGTCTCTAACTATCGGTTGCTATCATCTCGCGGATTCCAACCAGGTAGTTTACACCTACCAATCGCGTCCAAACTATTGGCTTTCCTCATACTTCGGAAGTT